TGTAGCTCAAGTGGTAGAGCGCTCGCCTTGAGCTGAAGAGCTGAGGGGACAGCGCCCAGGCCCAGAGTTCAAGCCCTACGACCGACAAAAAAAAAAAAAAAGAAAATGTAGTAAATACACAGTGGAGTTGTATTCAAGCACAAAGAAGTATTTCATATGTGTGTGTATGTTATACTACTTCTGTACATGTATCACATATCCAAAAATAAGTCAACATACAATAGAAAGACTCCTGAACACTTATGTTTATAGTTCCACTATTCACAGTAGCCAAACTATGGAGTCAGCCTAGGTGTCCTTCAACTGATGAACGGATAAACAAAATGTGGTGTGTAAATTACAGTGGGGTACAGCCATAAGGAAGAATGAGTTTATTGTTTACATAAAAATAAATGTACTGCAGATGTTAAGTGAAATAAACTAGACTCATAAAGACAAATATATTTTCTCTCATATATGGAATCCATATTTAAACAAAAAAAACCCAAGAAAGTAAAAATTAAAGGCTGGAGGTGTGGCTCAGTGGTAGAGCACCTGCCTACCAAGCAGGAAACCCAGAGTTCAAACTGTAATACTGCCAAAGAAAGATGGAGCACAACTATTTGGGAAAAAGGGAATCAGGCACATTATGTGTGTGAAAATATCCCGGTGTATCCCATTATTTTGTATAATTAATATACACTAAAAGTATTCCTTCTTCATTTACGAGCTTCCTGAGGCTAGGGAGCCATTTATTACCATTGCAGCTCTATCTGATCCTGTCATACAGTAGGTTCTTAATTGCTGGAGGGCATTTCAGGAAAATTAATGATCCATGTATGGAATCTCATGGTTTATCTCTGAAGTATAAGTGCAACTGGAGCATCAAATTAAAGTGGCCCATGTCTGTAATGCTAACTACTCAGAAGGCTGAGATCTGAGGATCACAGTTCCAAGACAACCTGGGCAGAAAAGTCCGACTCTTTTTTTTTTCTTTCTTTCTTTCCTTTTTTTTGGGTCGATTTTGGGGCTGGGTGCTGTCCCTGAGCCTCTTTTTTTAAAAAAAAAATTTTATTGTGATTAAGTGGTTACATAATTCCCCAAATTTCACAGTACTGTGGGACAGTGATGCTCAGTTAAAGTCACAAACACATTCTAACTTTCCTGGAGCAAATTGTCTATCATGGTCTATAACATTTATGAGATCTATGAGCTTTGCGATACAGTTATTTCTTCCACATTGGGTGATGTGTACATTTCTTTTGTTTTGCATAGCGTCAGCTGTTCCCTCTTTCCCACTTATTCTTTTCCTCCCATTGCTGCCATTGAGTCGCTTAGTTCATTTTGGTCAATGTCCAGTGCAGCTGATGGGTCCCACTGTTGTATGTTTTTCCCTGATTCTCTCTAGTTCTGTGTTTTCCTGGTTCCCCTCTGGTGTGCACATATATACCATACATGTGATCAGCAGCGTGGGGTTATTTAGTAGTGATTCAACCAGATGAGTGGAAGTCCTTTGTTTCTTAAGTCCTGCTAATTTTGTCGTATCACCTAACATTTTGGATTTAACATCCACTTATCAGGGAGACCATGTACGGTTTGTCTCTTTGCTCTTGGCTTACCTCGCTGAACATGATTTCTTCTAGCTCCATCCATTTCCCTGAAAATGCCATTATTTTGTCATTTCTAATGGCTGCATAGTATTCCATTGTGTATAGATGCCACAGTTTTTGGATCCATTCATCTGTGGTGGGTTCTGGGTTGTTTCCATATCCTGGCTAGTCCCTGAGCCTCTTTATGCTCAAGTCTACCCCTCTACCACTTGAGCCACAGCACCACTTCTGGTTTTTGAGCAGTTTATTGGAGATAAATAGTCCCAAGGGGACTTTTCTGCTGGGGTAGCTTCCAACTGGGATCCTTAGATCTCAGCTTCTTGAGTTGCTAGGAGTACAGGTGAGAACCACCAACACCCTCCCATAAGACTCTTATTCCCAAAAATCTAGTCAGAAAAATCTGGCCTGGGTGCTGTCCCTGAGCTCTACAGCTCAAGGCTAGAGTTCTACCACTTGAGCCACAGCACCACTTCCGGTTTTCTAGTGGTTACTTGGAGATAAGAGTCTCATGGACTTTTCTGCCTGGGCTGGCTTTGAACTGCCATCCTCAGATCTCAGCCTCCTGAGTAGCGAGGATTACAGGTGTGAGCCACCGGCCTGGCCAAGCTGCTACTTTTGAAGACTGTTCTCAGAAGAAGCAACAGCTTTTTTCCCCTCCCTCTCATGTCTCTAATTGTGGTGGGAATATAAACTAATGCAGCCCACGGAAATCCATGTGAAGGGTCCTAAAAGTAGAACTACATAGTATCCAACTATACTATACAACTTATGGGACTATTGCTTTGATAAATATGGACGAGTAGCTCTTTCATGTTGACTTTGATTCCTTTGGAGAGATACACTGGAATACTATAGTTGGATACAATGTAGTTATTTTTAGGGCTCTCCACACTGATTTTCATAGGCTGCACTAGTTTATACACCAACGGAGTATAAAGGTTTCTCCAGCAGCCAGAAACCTGCAGAAGTAACAATCATAAAGTCAGTGCAATGTCATCGGGCCTGGGCACTATCGCTGAGCTTTTGCTCGAGGATAACACTCTACCACCCGAGCCACAGTGCCACTTCTGGCTTTTTCTGTGTATGTGGTACTGAGGAATGGAACCCAGGGCTTCATGCATGCTAGGCAAGCACTCTACCACTAAGCCACCTTCCCAGCCAGCAGGGGTCTTTTTATTTGAGGTGATTTCACCAAACTCTGGTGGAAGCCCAAGGATTCTGCTGCCAAAGGACAGGGACAACGTTGGCACCTCCTAAGTTTGGCTAACAACGGGTCCGACTTTAAAGTTTCGGTTTCACCAAACGAAGACACCTTTCCCCACAGAGAGATTCTGTTGGGATCATCTGTGCCCGTCTGTTTTTGGGGTTCCCCTGGGCCCAGCACCTCACCCTCAGCCCTCGGCCCTGACCTCCTCCGCCCCATTGTTCTGACCCGTTCCCGCGTGGGGCGGGCTGGGAACTGTAGTTGCAATCCTTGCTGACTAAACTACTTAGGCCGACCTTCAACTCGTCGTTTCCTCATAGCTCCATTGGTCTCTGAGAGGCGGGGTAAAGCCTGGAACACCCAGCCCGCTCTTCCTAGGAGCAAGCCGGGAATTGCAGTTCCTAGCGTCTGAAGCCCGCCTGCGGGAGAAGGACTCTCGGACTCTTCACTCCAACTCTTAATCGGAGCTTCGCGCCTTCTGATGGCGTCACGAGGCTCCTACGAAGACCCTGGGATACGTAGTAGTTCTCAAGGTGGATTCTTCCCTTCGTTGCCACAACTCAAGGACTACATTTCCCAAAATGCCTCGCGGCGGCGCGCCGACAACCCCCTGACGCCGTGATTGGTCGATGAGCCGGCCGCACGCGGAGGAGCTCCTGGAGCAGCTCTGTTGCGACAGAGGCCGAGCGGCGCGGCCCTGTGAGTTGGGGAAAGGGTCGCTGGGGCAGGAGGGCGCCCACCCGCGAGGGGCGGCCGGGGAAGAGGAAGGGAGGACCCGGACGGGATGAGGTGGGCTGCGAGGGAGGTGAAAAGGCCTGGGGGAGAAGCTGACGCGCGGGGCGTGGGGGAGGCGGCTGGGGGGCTGAGTGCGGAGACTTTGAGGGGACTGGCCGAGGGAGGACGAGGGCGCCCCGGGAACCAGCTGGCCCCGACAGTTGGGCGATGACGGGGGGGAGAGGGGGTAGGGAGAGAGAAGGCCCGGCCAACCGGAGGAGGAAACCCGGAAAGTGAAGCTGCTGGCTGGAGTGCGGAGTGCCAAATTGTGGGGAAACCGGAGAGCGGGACAGAAACGGGACCCGAAGTGGAGGCCCTGAGAGCCGCGCGATCCCGGAGTGAGGCAGTTTCTGGGAAGCGGTGGACGGGGCATGCGGGGGTGGGGCGGGAGGGACGAGGTTAAGACCAAAAGATCGGCTGAGAGTCCGAACCGGCAAGAGAAAACCCTGGCGAAGTTGGCAGAGCTGAGACTTGGGCAGGGCGGGCCATCAAAAGCGCCCTGGAAAATTCCAGAAAGGGATGGATAGGGTATTCCTTCCAGTAAGTAAATGAAGGATATTGGCGTTATCTCTTTTGCCCTCCTTCAGACTGCCTGCAGGAACAGTAACCTACCCCTGTGGTTCAACACCATGCCCTCCGACCTGGCCAAGAAGAAGGCAGCTAAAAAGAAGGAAGCTGCCAAAGCTCGACAACGGCCCAAAAAGGGGCATGAAGAAAACGGAGATGCCGTTACAGAACCACAGGTGGCAGAAGAGAAGAATGAGGCCAATGGCAGAGACACCACAGGTGGTGACCAGGGGTGCCTTCCTGGTTTGGTTGCTAAGACTAAATGTGTGCTTCAGGCAAAGTCAGAATCTAGATGTTGGATCAGTGAGAAATACATACAGCTTGCATGGTGGTGAGTGCTATAATCCCAGTACTGGGAGTCAGAAGCAGGAAGATCACAGGTTTGAAGTCAGCCTGTATTACATGGCAAAAAAATTAAAAAAGCTGGTTGCAAGTGGGTCTCCCCTTTTTCCTAGCTACTCAGGAAGCTCACTTCTGAGGGCCATGGTTCAAAGACAACTTGGGCAGCAAAGTCTTACCTCCAATTATTAGCAAAAAGCCAGAAAGGGAGATGTGGTTTTAGTGGTAGAATACCATCCTTGAGTGAGAAAGCAAGAGCCAGTGCTCAGGCTCTGAGTTCAAACCCCAACACTAAATAAATATAAACACACACAGATACGTACATGTGTATAAGTAACCATACACACACAGTTGGAATTACTGATCCAAGGAGGCAGCACAAGTGAGCACAAAGATAGGAATTGCACTGCCTTGCTGTCCATTGGACTATGAAAAGGAGTCCGCTCTCTTCTCATTTCTCAGTATTCCTAAACATGGTTGCACAAGTATGCCAGGCTCTTCCCACATAGCACCCTGCTCCCCACAGGTGTAGTGACTTCGCTAACATTGACTTACGAAGTTCTATAGGGCTTCCTGGGAAACACCTGGAGTTCTGTTGTTTCTATTTTGGCATATATTTGTTGACTGCTTCTCAGTACTAGACATGGTAGGCTATACTGAGGTATTATAAATACTGTCTGCTGTCGGGTGACTTGCTGTCTAGGTGGTAAAGCATGGTAATGTGATGAAGACTTTCTCAGTCCCTTCTTACTCTAATCCCAGTCTCTTCTCTGCCTCTTAAAAGCTTCCTCTACCATCCTGTGGTCCATTTGCACTATTCATTGTCCCCCCCCCCACGCCCACCCGTTTGTGCTGGTACCGAAATTTGAACTTAGGGTCTCTGCTTTTAGAGTCTGACATTCTACCAAACCTCCACTTCTGGCTTTTTTTGCTGACTAATTGGAGATAAGAGTTTCATGGGCTTTACCACCTGGGCTGGCGTCAAACTGCCATCCCCAGATCTCAGCCTCCTGTGTAACCTAGTTGGCGTGAGCCCCCAGCCCCCCACTTTCATTGTCCCTTTCATAATGACTACATTTCTGTCCTTTCACATACTAAATTCATATCTGTCCTTTCACATACTAAATTCTAATATGATGGTGTTTGAGCAACCACATTTGCCAACGTAGTTCAAGTGATAAAGAGCCTGCCCGACAAGCAAACCCCAGCAATGCAAATGTGTGTATGTATATATTGATGAGTTGAATAGTATGATAGTCTCTAATTCTAAGGAAATATGATGTAGTAAGTCAGACAGGCCATGGAAAAGTTTTCTTCTTGGACAGAATAGTGAAGGATGGGAAGTTAATGATCAGAGTGAGGCCAGCCACAGCGGCTCTCACCTGGAATCTGAGCTATTCAGGCACCTGAGATCTGAGGATTGGCGTTTGCAGCCAGATGGGAGGAAAACAACTTACCGCCAGTTAAACACCAACAAATACTTAATAGCCTTTACCTTTTCCACCCAAGTACTAGCCCAGGCCCTGTGTTCAACCCCAGTACTAGCACCAAAAAAAAAAAAAGAACAAGGGGAGTGAACAAGGACACTAGGGATAAGGACATCATGCTACATTCAAAAGATAAGGCTACAAAGTGAGGTTGTCCAAGGGAGCAGATGTAGGACATCTGTGTCTGTATGCTCTGTGAGCTCCTGAAACCTCTGGATGCTCAGCCTGACTTGAGCCCAGTCTTTTGGGATCTGCCCCCTTGTGCAAGAGCTGAATTGTCTTACTGTCCCCATCCCTACTTGCATTTCTGTCCCCAGAAGTGGATTTGCTGACCAAGGAGCTAGAAGACTTTGAGCTGAAGAAAGCTGCTGCTCGAGCTGTCACTGGCGTCCTGGCCTCTCATCCCAATAGTACCGACGTCCACATCATCAACCTCTCACTCACCTTCCATGGTCAGGAGCTGCTCAGTGACACCAAACTGGAACTAAATTCTGGCCGTCGTTACGGCCTCATTGGCTTAAATGGAATCGGTGAGTTCTTTAAAAGCTAAAGTAGGAGGCTTTTCTTCTTCTTGGCATATGTGTTGTGCCCATCAGTATTTCTAGCAGTGCATAAAGCAAGGACTTTACCCTATGGGTGGCAAACCAGATAAGCCCAAAGAAAAAGGAATTAGCAACAGAGCAGTATGTGGTATGTGAGCTGAGTGGCTTATTGCAGTAGGTTCAGGAAGATTTGGTGGGGGATTGGGGCAGAGGTATGGGAAAGCTGTTTGTCATTAATGAACATTAAGCTGAAAAGGTATCCCAAGAATGGAGACTAACAGGATCCGAATGAATGAGAAGATGGAAGATACTCAAAGAACAGTGAGGAAGGGGAGGAGAGGAAGAGTGGGGAAATGGCTGAATGCCATCTCTCTTGTTGGGAAAGTCCATGCTTCGCTCTGCCCTCTTCTGTCAGGGAAGTCCATGCTGCTGTCTGCAATCGGGAAGCGTGAAGTGCCCATCCCTGAGCACATCGACATTTACCACCTGACCCGTGAGATGCCCCCTAGTGACAAGACCCCCTTGCAGTGTGTGATGGAAGTGGACACAGAGCGTGCCATGCTGGAGAGGGAGGCTGAGCGGCTGGCTCACGAGGACGGTAGGACTCCAGACCCAGGGTGGGGTGGGCTTTGTCCTGGGAAAGTCTCAGAGCCTGATGGCCATGTGGTGCCTACAGCGGAATGTGAGAAGCTCATGGAACTATACGAGCGCCTGGAGGAGCTGGATGCTGACAAGGCAGAGATGAGGGCCTCACGGATTTTGCATGGACTTGGTTTCACACCTGCTATGCAGCGCAAGAAGCTAAAAGACTTCAGTGGGGGCTGGAGGATGAGGGTTGCCTTAGCCAGGTGAGTCCCTCCCTTCTTCCTCCACTCCCTTGAGGTTCCCCACTTCTCCTTGTGAACGCTTATTCCAGTGAAACTGTCAGCTCTCACTAAGTATCAAATGAGACAGACGTCAGTGGTGTGGAGAGAGTTTATTAGGCTATAGAGTGAGCTGCTAGTTGCCGTGTTCCAGAATGACTGCTCAGCACAAGGTTTAGGAATCTTTGAAGCAGCCCCACCCAGGTAAAACGGTTGAGGTCAGTTTTTCTTTCTTTCCTCCTGATTCCCTTCCAAGCTTTTGTGTGCTCCAGCCTTTTGTTTTGTATTTTTTGCCAATCCTGGGGCTTGAACTCAGGGCCTGGGCACTGTCCCTGAACCTCTCTGTGCTCAAGGCTAGCACTCTACAACTTGAGCCACAGCACTACTTCTGGCTTTTTCTGTTTATGTGGTTACTAAGGAATCAAACCCAAGGCTTCATGGTAGACAAGCACTCTACCACTAAGCCACACTCCCAACCCCAGTCCTTCTAATTCTTGCTGTAAAAATATGGCTCGAGGCATGGCTCAAATGATAGAGCACTTTCTTACTAAGCTCAAACTCCAGTACTGATGTGTATACATGGGTCTGTAAGTATGTGAAGATAAAATGTTAGCTAGATACATGCCTGTGATCCTGATTGCTTGAGAGGCTGAGGCAGGGACCAGGGTCAACTCAGGCAAAGTTAGGGAAACTATCTTAAAAAAAAATTTTTTTTTTTGTTACTGTAAAAGTGACATACGGAAGGGTTACAGTTACATAAGTCAGCTAAAAAGTTCCTTTTGTACAATGTTACCTCTTCCCTGTTCTCTTCCAGTTTTTCCCACCCATCCCCACCTACAAGTTGTATATAGTTCATTTTCAACATAGTGACTAGTGAGTACTGCTGCTACATTTGGGAAACTGTATCTTGAAGATGAAACTTAGTTATCTGTTGTAATGTCTATTCTTACTCTCTGGAAGCTTGGGTCAAAGTGAGTTTGCAGATCAACGACACCTTCATCCCCCTAGAGTGCCTAGTTATATCACTTTGGTTTCTATTATATAATGAAGTGCCTGAGGCTGCATATTTTATACGGAAAAGATGTTCATTTTGCTTATGGTTTTGGAGGTTCAAGGCTACCACATCTGGTAGTAACTGCCTAACTGTTAAGTTCTGAGGCAGGACATGTAGCAAGAGACGGAGTATCTGCATCCCCTCTGATTTTGTTCTTATTTATATGTTTACTTTTTTGTTGTTGGTCGTGGGGCTTGAACTCTGGGCCTGGGTGCTGTCCCTGAGCTCTTCAGCTCAAGGTAAGAGCTGTACCACTTGAGCCACAGCACCACTTCAGTTTTCTGGTGGTTAGTTGGAGGTAAGAATCTCATGGACGTTCCTGCCTAGGCTGGCTTTGAACCACAATCCTGAGATCTCAGCCTCCTCTAAGTAGCTGGGATTACATGTATGAGCCATTGGTGCCTGGCTTGTTTACATTTCTTTACTTTTTTTTTTTTTCTTTTTGGTCAGTCGTGGGGCTTGAACTCTGGGCTTGGGCGCTGTCACTGCCCTCTTCAGCTCAAGGCGAGTGCTCTACCACTTGAGCCAGAGGGCCATTTCTGGTTTTCTAGTGGTTTATTGGAGATAAGAGTCTCATGGACTTTTCTGCCCGGGCTGGCTTTGAACGGAGATCCTCAGATCTCAGCGTCCTGAGTAGCTAGTATTATAGGCATGAACCTGCTTGTTTGCCCTGCTTGTTTGCATTTTTTTGAGGCAGAGTCTTGCTGTGTAGCTCAGGCTGGCCTCATTCTCTAGTACTAGGATTACAGGCACGAACGCTCATGACTAGCTAGCTCCTTCCCTCTTCTCAAAGCTACCAGAATCCACTCATGGATCTCTATCCTGGAAACCTTACCAAATCCTAAAGCTCCACCTCCAAATACCATAGTCAGATTCTGTTTATGCCCTCTTAACACTTCATACTGGGAGTTCTCTCCCACATATTCAACCAGAGCACTAAATAGATTAGTATTGATGGTACTGGGGTTTGAAAACAGAGCCTTGTACTCTTGGCTATTTTCTTCATGGCTAATACTCTACCACTTGAGCCACACCTCCAATCTGCATTTTGCTTATTAATTAGAGATAAAGTCTTACAGACTATAGACTATCTATACAGCCTGGGCTGGCTTCAAACCTTGATCCTCAGGTCTCAATTTCCCACCATCCCCTGGCTAAATAGATCATTACTTATCCCACTGTTCTCTGAATGAGTTGGTGGTACAGCCCCACTCCGCTAAAGGGTTGCCTGTACAGGCCTTAGAACAGGAGAGTAGTGGTTCCCTGGCTAAGAGCAATCAGATGCTCAGACTCACCTGGGAGCTTCAGTCTCTCCTTCAGCAGGATGCAGGAAGAACGCTGGAATTTGATGTCTGGAGATCTAAGATGTTCCCCAAGAGTGGTGACTGCGGGATTGGAAACCCGAGCTTCACCAGATTTTTTTGTTGTTGTTGTTGTTTTGTTTGCTTGTTTCTTTTGCGAGTTCTGGGGCTTGAACTCAAGGCCTGGGCACTGTCCTGAGCTGCTTTTACTCAAGGCTAGCACTCTACCACTTGAGCCATAGCGCCACTTCTGGCTTTTTCTGTGTATATGGTACTGAGGAATGGAACCCAGGACTTCGTGCATGCTAGGCTCTATCTCTGAGCCACATTCCCAGCCCTTCCCCAGTTTTAAGAGAAGAACATTATTCAGCCCCCTTGCTAGAGGAGGCGGCTTTTTCAGATTGGTCTAATCATAAAACTTTTGCTTTTAGCAACTTAGTTTCCTCTGTAATCTTTTTTTTTTTTTTTTGTCTTCTTGGTGTTCATCAACCACAGTATCAAAATAAAAGATTCACTTCTCAGTCTTATCTGCAGACTACATTCCTATGCTTCTAAGCCCTGCTTTCTTCATTTTTTTTTTTCTCATCTTTGAACTCTGATTTCTCCCCCTTTCCTCTGAGGTATAAAACCCAGACTGATTTCAGGAGTGGAGCCAAGCTTGACTCCTTCCATGTCGCACTCCTGATACCAAGATACCTGTCTCCTCTTCTGTCCTTCAGAGCCCTCTTCATCCGGCCGTTCATGCTGCTCCTGGATGAACCCACCAACCACTTGGACCTAGATGCTTGTGTGTGGTTGGAAGAAGAACTAAAGACGTAAGGGGGCAGGGTGGTGATGGGTTGGCGTGCCTGAAGCAGTGGGAGTGGGCAGCGAATACAGCGTCCAGAACTGCACAGATAGTAAAGCAGTGAGAAAACTGATCTGGGTCAGGCCAGGCAGGACACCCGAGCTGGCCTTATTGTCTGATTGTGTTTTGTCTGAACTATGTGAGCCTTGAAAAACAACCGTTTTTCCTTTATTTAAGATACACCATATTTACTCTAGAAAACATTCTTAGTTGATCTACGAGTGTCCTGTAAAGAGGATCATCTGCTTAAGATCCTGAGGCTGTGGCAAAGGAAAAGAATAGCCATACATTCATGCTTGCTTTATGGCTACAGATCTGAATAATGGTGGTGTCAAGCTTTTTAAAAAAGCTTTTAGTGGTACAGTAATTTTTAGTATCTCTTCCAAAAAGAACATACTTGTGTTTATATTGCATCTGTCCCGGCTCTCCTCACCCGGAGTTCTAGATACCCTTCACCACCATCTTCCTCCCCATTGTGTGACAGAAGACTAATGGGCTCTGAAAGGCACCAGAAGCCCCTTACAGCTAGACTGTGGTGCGGCCTAGGTGCTCACCAGCAGCTGGCAGTTGCACTGAGGTGCAAGGAGGGTGAGGGATCTGCCTCAGTTCCCCTGATTCACCATCTCCAGTGCTGTTCTGATTGGTTGTTTGGCTTCGCAGTTTTAAGCGTATCCTGGTCCTCGTGTCGCACTCTCAGGATTTCTTGAATGGTGTCTGCACCAATATCATCCATATGCACAACAAGAAACTCAAGTATTATACGGTGAGTGGGTGGGCCTATGCTTATCAGTCCTCTGAAAGTCTCCTTAAAAATAACTCAGAGGTCTTTTATCTCTATGGCTATAAAAAATAGGGATGAGGGGCTGGGGGTTTAGCCCAGTGGAAGGGTGCCGGCCCGGCACGCGCAAGGCCCTGGGTTCGGTCCTCAGCCCTGGAAAAAAAAAAGAAAAGAAAAAAAAAAATAGGGACGAGAAGCTCTGCCTTGACTTACTCTAGGCCTAACACCTGCACTTGCAGGCTTTCAGACGACAGCCAGCCGTGGTTGGCAGCCCTGGCATGTGGTGTATGTTTGCTGCCTCCTTGTCAGGGAAGGCCCCGCCCCCGCCCCCACCCGCTGATCATGTGGCTCCTTCACTCTGTCTTGAGAGTCTGGGTACCCAAAAGTCTGACTCTACTTCTCTGAGTACAGGAGGATGGGGTTAGGGTCTCAGAACCTCCCCTAGTGTGACTTGCTTTTTTTTTAGTAGTTGGAAAAACAACAAAAATGAAAAAGCTGGGTACAGTGGAACACACTGTGTAGCGCTCCCCAGCGCTAGGGAGATAGGTAGAGACTTTGTCTCAAAAAAAAAATCCTTTTCATTCATAATCAGACACACCAAGAAAGTAATCATTTCTTAATAGCCTTTCAGAATTCTGCATACCTGTAAACATTTGTAGAAAATTTCATGTATACATAGATGCTTTATTAAGTATAGTTGTAATCTTAGGAATTACTGTATTCTGGGAATGGAAGTTTGGCTTTAGTGATGGAGCAAGCACTTGGGCCCTGAATTCAAACCCCAGTACCAAAAGAAAAAAAAGTAAAAGAAGAAAGAATAATCATTCTATGGATTACGTTTTAAATTTAGCACATCTTGGACCTGGCTTTCCAAATGTATTTCATTGTGGATATCAAGATAGTATCTAAAACTTTTTTTTGGTGGTCAGGGCCTTGCTCAGCAGGTAGTCTACCACAGAGCCATGCCTCTAGAAGACGAAACTGCAGAAATGATGGTGTTAAATCCTTTTGTGTGTGTGCCAATACTGAGGTTAAACTCGGGATCTCCCGCTCTTGCTCAGCTTTCTTGTTCATTTTGGTGCCCTGTTCCTTGAGCCATGCCTCCAACTCTAGTATTTTGCAAGTTAATTGGAGTCAGTCTTCTAGACTTCTCTGCCAGAGCTGACTCCAAACCTCTGTCTTTCAGGTCTCAGGCCTCCTAAGTAGCTAGGGTTTCAGGTGTGAGCCTCTAGCACTCGATTTATTAGGCCCTTAAAATGTATTTTTTAGTTCTCATAAAGGTGATACATACAGAGAGGTTAGTTACAGTTTTCTTTTCTCTCCCATTTCTTTTTTTGTTGTTGTTGTTGGTCATGGGGCCTGAAAGCTGGGCCTGGGTGCTGTCCCTCAGCTCTTCAGCTGAAGGCTAGCGCTCTACCACTTGAGCGTCAGCCCCACTTCCGGCTTTTTCTGCTTATGTGGTGCTGAGGAATCGAACTCAGGGCCTCATGCATGTAAGACAAGCACTCCACCACTGAGCCACCTTCCCAGCCCCTCTCTCCCATTTCTTGGAGTAGGCACATTTTTAAAGGGTATTTTGCTCCGGTATAGGAATCAACCATGTCCAATTGTTCAGGTTGTGTTGAGTCCTAAATCTGATAGATGTGTTTCCTCTTGTGGGGATAGCTCTTCTGGTCCTTGTGGTCCATCAGCTTCTGGGGTGATGGTAGTATGATGCTCCCCTCACTAGGTGTCTTTCTGACTAACCAAGTCTGGCTTGGCTAGACTCAGTAGAGACTTCACATTTGAGGTTAGAGTGTGCTTCTTTAATACATTTCTTACTGTACAGACTGATAGCCAAATCACTGTCATACCTCATCCCCCTAAACTCTGAATGAGAACCCAGGACTGAGACCAGGTTAAAGCTACCCACCCTGCCTGGTATATTTCCCTGCAGGGTAATTATGATCAGTATGTGAAGACACGGCTGGAGCTGGAGGAGAACCAGATGAAGAGGTTTCACTGGGAGCAAGACCAGATTGCACATATGAAGGTAGGGAGATGGTAGAGCCAAGGAGTCGGGGGCACTGGGAGAAGCCAGAAAGAAGGCTAGTCGTCCTTCTTCACCCAGCATCTTACAGGAGTTGTTGAGCCCACACACACTCGCAGCCCCTTCTGGTCCCTTTCAGAACTATATTGCTAGATTTGGTCATGGATCCGCCAAGTTGGCCCGGCAGGCCCAGAGCAAAGAGAAGACACTGCAGAAAATGATGGCATCAGGACTGACAGAGAGGGTCGTGAGTGACAAGGTGAGGTGGGGTGGGGTGGGCCTGTGTGGCTGCAGCTGTGGGGCAAGGACAGCACCAGGCTGACGCTGCTGCTGCTCTTCCCAGACGCTGTCATTTTATTTCCCACCGTGTGGCAAGATCCCACCCCCTGTTATTATGGTGCAGAATGTGAGCTTCAAGTATACAAAAGATGGGGTAAGTGGAGCAGGGCAGCTCTGCATGCCCATGGTGGCTGAGGGCCCTGTGCGACCCTCTCCCGTCCTTGATGTGCCTGCTGACCCGTTGGGGAAGGGCTGTGGTTTTCCTCATGGGCAGCTGGAGCCTCATCCAAGGGGCTCCTCCCTGAAGGAGGCTCTCTCTTCTGGATTGGTGGGTGGAGGCAGTGAGTTGGGGTCTCCCTCTGCTCCCCTGAGGACTGGGACTCCATGATGCTGGTCTGCCAGGCAGACAGACCCAGCTGCTCACCTGTGTTTGCCTCTCTCTTACCTACCTCAGCCTTGCATCTACAATAATCTAGAATTTGGTATCGACCTCGACACACGCGTGGCCCTCGTGGGGCCCAACGGAGCAGGGAAGTCCACTCTTTTGAAGCTGCTAACTGGAGAGGTACAGTGCTAGGGGAAATGTGGCCACTTGTATAGAAGCAGGCGCCATGATGGAAGTTGAGCAGGGCGGGTGGGGAGCTCACTGCTGTGGAGGCCCGGCGCCTTAGGGGGGATGGCCGGGGGAGGGGGGGGGCTGCATGCGTGTCTCAGCACTTTTCTATTTCAGCCCTTCGTTATCCAGTATGGTGCGCCTAAAAATGGTAGATATTTTGTGATTAGTCAATGATATAGTGTTTCTTCACCTTTTTGTATGTCTTCCTGAGTATTTTGAAGGATGATTTGAGCTGGTGCGGTGGGTTCTGTTTAGAAAGTTCTATGAGCCCCGCTCAGCGTGAAGCATTTGTGTGTGTGCTTATCTTCCTACGTCTGCTTATGGCTCTCTTCTTCCTAGCTGCTGCCCACAGATGGGATGATCCGGAAGCACTCCCATGTCAAGATAGGGCGTTACCATCAGGTACGGGCCTGGGGTCAAGGCTGGGGTCAGGGTGGGAGAAGGGGTTGTAACTGGCCTGGCCCTTCAGGCATGCCGGCTTACTGCTTAGGTCCTGAGAAGTGCCTGGGTGGAGGCGGAGCGCTGTCCCACAGGTAGCCTCACACCTGGTGGCCCTGTTTCCTGTAGCATTTGCAGGAGCAGCTGGACTTGGATCTCTCACCTTTGGAGTACATGATGAAGTGCTACCCAGAGATCAAGGAGAAGGAGGAGATGAGGAAGATCATTGGGCGATATGGCCTGACTGGGAAGCAGCAGGTTGGCAGAGGAGGGTGAGGAGAGCTGGGAGGCCCTGGCTCTGCTAACGCCGGATGCTGATTCTAATCCCTGAGCGTGCTCACCACATTTCCCCTAGATTGTTGTGACAGGTGTGTCACTGTGAGGCTGCGGATAAAGATACAGCACTACTCTCTGAGCTCCCCTTTGTCAGAGTGCCTGAGGGTGAGGCACTTGTAATCTAGGAAGCAAGTTCCTGGAAGTGAGGCGTCACGGAGTGGCTCAGTTCTTTGGGACTTCAGTGCCAGGAGAATGGGAGGCGAGACGTGCTCTGGCAGGTTGTTCGCTGTCAGGCCTCCAGGACAAACACTGGGCCACCTTCTCCACGTGTGATCTTGGGGCTCTCAGACCTTGTCGTAAAAGCGCAGACATAATCATAGAGGTGCCAGGGAGTAGGGAGGGCGGAGTCCCGCTGCCTGCTGGGTGATAGCACATCTTGTGGGTTGTGGTCCTCACAGGTAAGCCCAATTCGGAACCTGTCTGACGGGCAGAAGTGCCGGGTCTGTCTGGCCTGGCTGGCCTGGCAGAACCCTCACATGCTCTTCCTGGACGAACCCACCAATCACCTGGACATCGAGACCATCGACGCTCTGGCAGACGCCATCAATGAGTTTGAGGGTGGCATGATGCTCGTCAGCCATGACTTCAGACTCATTCAGCAGGTGAGCCCCAGCGGTGGCCCGAGGCACAGCCCAAAGTGGGTGGCTTGAGGGGGGGGGTGCTTAAATGGATGCTGGTTGAATACAAAGTGGCTCAGGCCCACGTGGTACGGTGAGGGCCAGCCCTCAAGGCTGCTTGGGAGGATGTTTGCTTACTTGATGGTCTTGGCCCACATGGAGCAGAGGGTTAGGCCTTTGCTCCTGCTCTAAAATTCTTCAGGGTTCTAGTAAGAAGGGCTTGGATTAGGAAGAGGGCTGCCACCAACATTGAAGAAAAAGGCTGGCTGACCATTTCTGCAGCTTTGGAGAAATGGGATAGAAAAAGCATGTGAACAGTGAAGTCTTCGGACAGATCTGGCCCGCTAGGGACCTGACAGTAGAGGAGGTGCAACAGGTCCCGACAAGGACAGCTCCGGGGCCTGCTGTGTGCTGCCCCGCACCGGCTATTGCAGAGAGCGTAGAGGAAGTGAGAGTGATGCGGACGTGGTTCGGGGTGAGGTGGCGGCGGCTTCCATCTCATCCTCTAGAATGGGGGGGTCTGGAGGGCTGTTAGATGGGTGAGGAGAGGGCGGGAGCGAGAGGAGTCAGTTTCAGACTAGGATCTGCTTTTCAGGTCGCACAGGAAATTTGGGTCTGTGAGAAGCAGACAATCACCAAATGGCCTGGAGACATCCTGGCCTACAAGGAGCACCTCAAGTCTAAGCTGATTGATGAGGAGCCCCAGCTCACCAAGAGGACCCACAACGTATGAGCCCTCAGCTAGGCTTGGGTCAGGAGTGCCACCTGACCATCGCTCAGGACAGGACCCCGGGGCCACACTCCCACGCTGCTGCACTACCGTCCCCAGCCTCTTCCCGCCTCAGCCTGCCTCTGCTGCACTCTGTTACCTTACCGACGGCCAGACAGCGCCCGTTGCCTCCCATCCTCCTTCCAATTCCATCTATCCAGTCTGGACTCAGCTGGCTTTTCCCTTGGCTCCTTGCTGGTTACTCTGCCCTGAGAAGCTTGCAGCAGAGGTGCTGGGTTAGCCCAGCCCACGGCTCTGGATTTGGCCTGTGGAGGAGTTTAAGAGCCTCATTTTCTGGGTCTTGGTGATGTTGGAGGAATGTTCCCAGCCCACCACCCCATTCCTTTATGCTTCCAACTTGGAGCTCTGAGCCAGAGCCTTACTAGTTCTGGTCAGTTTTTTAATAGTTATTTTAACAGTGTAACTTTTAGACCTGCGTGACATCTACAAAGCATCCAATAAAGAAAGAGGAAGCCATGTCCCCTCCTTTCCTTCCCAGGTGTCTGGGGCCGTCTTCCCTCCTCCGCGGGGCCTGATGTAGGGCTGACGACTTGAAGAATGGCTCCTTCTCTGCTGCTTTGGATGGTGCCTATTAGGCCTGTGGCTCACAGACTTTACCATGAAGTATCGAGGGGGGAATGGTCAGCTGGAGGCCTTCAGGTCACCTCACAGGGCCTCACTAGAGTTTCTGGTTCTGTAGGTCTAGGTACAGCCAAGAGTCAACATTTCTTTTTTCTTATTCCAATTTATTAATATTTTAGAAGGGTTATCTTTATATACATCCGGAAATCAGTACATTTCCTTTTCACATAGTGTCATCTGTTCCTCGTTCGCTCTCATTCCCCCTCTCCCATCTCTGCCCACGAGTTGCATAGTTCACTTTATATCAGTGTCTGATACTGCCAGTATGTTCCACTGCTACACTTTTCACCCTTTTCCCTCCGATTCTGTACCCTCTGACTTAACATTTCTTCTTTTTTTCTCTCCTTTCCTCCCTCTCCTCCTTCCTTCCTTGCCTCCCATTTTTGGTGTGCTGATACTAGAGCTTAAACTCAGGGCCTCAGCTTTTTTGCTCAAGACTGGTACCCTACCTCTTGCCATATCATCACTTCTAGCTTTTTGCTGGTCGATTGGAGATGTCTCATGGACTTCTGTGCCCAGGCTAGCTTCCAGCCAAGATTCCCTGATCTCAGCCTCCAGAGTAGCTAGGAGTAGAGATATAAGCCAACCAGCACCTGGCTAAGAATCAACATTTCTAACAATTCCTGATGATGAGATTGACATGGATGTAGAGGCTGACTTGGGAAGCATTGCCCTTGAGCATGTTTTATACAGGCTGACTCCAGCTACCATACTTGGAACACTTGTTAAAAATACAGAATCTCAGCTGGGAAGGTGGCTCAGTGGAAGAGTGCTTGCCTTGCATGCCTGAGGCCCTGGGTTTGATTCCTCAGCACCACATAAGCAAAATGAAAAAAGCTGAAAGTGGCACTGTGGCTCAAGTGGTAGAGCGCTAGCCTTGAGCTGAAGAGCTGAGGGACAGTGCCCAGGCCCAGAGTTCAGGCGCCCAGGCCCAGAGTTCAGGCCCCACAACCGGACCCCCCCCCCAAAAAAAAAGAATACAGAATCTCAAGCCGGGTGCCAGTGGCTCACGCCTGTGATCCTAGCTGCTCAGGAGGCTGAGATCTGAGGATCCCAGTTGAAAGCCAGCCCGGGTACAAAAAAGTTGGTGAGACTCTTTATCTCCAATATATCACCCAGAAAACCAGAAGTGGTGCTGTGGCTCAAGTGGTAGAGCATTCTCCTTGAGCTGAAGAGCTGAGGGACAGCGCCTAGCCCCAGAGTTCAAGCCCCATGACTGAAAAAAAAAAAAAAAGACAATCTCAAAGTCCTGGACCTGTTCTGTATGGTGGAGAGTGGGGACAGACATGTCAGAATCTGCATCTACTGTTGTGTGTGATACAGGGAGTTCTGTTTTACCTGGTTTTGTCAGCTGTCTAGCTTACTTGTAGTCCTGAGTGTTTCACAGCCTGCGAACTTGGAGCCTGTGTGTGTTAGGCACGCCCATGGCTAGCCTTAACCTGGTGCACTCAGCCCTTCGCCTCCAGAGCGGCAGCAGCCACCACGTACAGGACATATGACAGCACATCTAAGATGGTGCCTTAAACCCCTAGCAGGCGTATAGTCAAGTGGGAGATTCAGCAACACATAAAAGACATAAATCAGGAGCCAAGCTGATTTAGATAGTATACCCAGAAGTACTGAAAAGGAGGGAGGGTTGCTCTGAGCAGTGAATAGGGCTTTGGAAGTGCAAGAGCTTCCCTAGGCGAGGGACTTAAGTGTCCAGTGGGGCAGGGGTGTCCTCTGCTCCACTGTGCTGCTAGAGGTGCCTGGTTCCAGGGAGGATGGCATTTGAAGACTGGCTGCTGCCTATCCTTTGAGTTGTCTTCAAGAACTCCATGTTGGAGTCTTTAGTCTATGACATCTTTATAGTTGTATAGTCTGTTCAGCCTGTTTGTCAAAAATCTTGCCCATTTTAAGAATGCCTAGAAGATTCACAAATTATGTACTCTAAACATAGTACAGTGGTGCCGTGTCTCGGAGTCTCAGCTGCCCTCACAGCCTCTGGAAGCAAACCTTAGTAGTTGGAGGGGGACAGGGTGGGCCCTGCCTGAGGACATCACCCTGTCCCATACTCCGCTGCTCCAGGCGTGTGTAATCAGCCCTCATGCCCAAAACGTCTGCACCTGCAGGTGCTGAGATCACTTTCTCCATTTCAGAATGGCCTTTTTCTTTTTTTTTTTTTTTTTGTGGTTTGGGTCCGGTCGTGGAGCCTGAACTCTGGGCCTGGGCGCTGTCCCTCAGCTCTTCTGCTCAAGGCTAACGCTCTACCACTTGAGCCACAGCGCCACTTCCGGCTTTTTTCTCTTTGCTTATGTGGTGCTGAGGAATCGAACCCAGGGCCTCATGCATGCAAGGCAAGCACTCTACCACTGAGCCACCTTCCCAGCCCCTAGAATGGCCTTTTTCTTTGCAGCTACCTTCCACCCGGAGCCCCACCTCATCTGCCCTCACAGAGCCGCCTCCACCCCTCCATGTCCACTCCACAGCCTAGGGCCTGTCTGCTGTCTCCCATCCCAGCTAAGCTGGTCTCCATCCTCTGCTCCAGATTCTTTGCTTTTCGCTCTCTTGTCCCCATGCTTCGTGATTAAATCACAACCCCTCCTCCAAGGCCAGCTTTGCGTTCCCACTGACTGTGTGACTGCTCTAGCCCTCCAGTCTCCGTACCGGCCTCGTCTCTAACCCACTCCATAGCCAAGCTCAAGGGTGTTTGCTTTGGGGAGGTGGACTGGCCTGGATTGAGTGCATTTCCACATGTGTGTGCATTCACCTGGGGAGGGTGGGTGGGGGACATCAGGACAGGGCACCCTGGTCCTGAGATGGATCTGGCCCAGGTTCTAGTTGGGTTGAGGCCCAGCTCTCAACTCCCCACATCGGGCGCTTACAGCCACGCCTGGCTGTGGTGGCTGGCCATCGAAGCTGCTCCATGGTGCCAGGGGGCTCAGGGGGCTGTGTGTGGAGAAGGGGCAGCAGCTGCGGTCCAGGGGCACAGGATAGAGCTCGAGGCAAAAAGCTCAAAGTGCAAAAAGTCCTGTTTTTATTTGTCGTCATAGGAGGGGGTGAACTCGGGGCCTTGTGATGACGAGGCAGAGGCCTGGACCACTAACCCGCACCCCGAGTCAGAGACCTGCCCAGTGGTATTTGTTCTGCTGGTCCTGGGGTTTGAACTAAGGCCAGGGCACTGTCCTGGGGCCTCTCTGTGCTCAAGGCTAGCGCTCTAGCATTTGAGCCATAGCACCACTTCTAGATTTTTCTGTGTATGCAGTACTGAGGAATCAAACCCAGGGCTTCATGCATGCTAGGCAAGCACTCTACCACTGAGCCACCTTCCCAGCCCCTTACGCAGTGTATTTCTCCAAAGTGCTGAAGCAGACTGTGGTAGCTGACTGAGAATGTCATATGGAGAAACAGAACTTGCTTTTGTTTATGCTGGTGGGCGCAGAGGAGTTTCTAATCCAGACCCTGAGCCCGGACGAGCCTTTCATCATTAGACACAGGTATTTGGAGTTTGGTTTACCACCGCTCCCCCCCGCCCCCCGCACACACACACATGGTTCTCGTTTCTTGAAAATGCCCTGCAAGTCAGTGCTGCTAGCGGCAGGTCTTCCTTACCCAGTATACTGTTAGAGGCCCAAGGCCGTCACGACAGTGTACCAGTCATGTGACACGGGGCTTGCCAGACTTAAAGCGGCCTGTTCCCACAGGTGTGCTGGTGTGAAATGCGCGTGTGAAGCCAGGGTGTGGTCTAGGACAAGTGTCCAGGTTCTGAGGCTGCCAGAGGCAGCGTAGTTTTTAACCTGCCATCTGGGCAGAGCTCGTGAGCAACAGGTGACGGGGCTTTGCAACGCACAGCTGTTCCACGTGGCAGTGAGCGGAAGCAGGCCGTGCTGGGACCAGAGAAAGGCATCGATTCCAGCTGTTTCCCCTTCTGGGCCTGGAAATCCTTCGGCTGTGCTACTCTCAGGCTCTGGGGGTGTGAACCCATCTGCCATCCATCTTGTGTAGCCCAGCAAGACAGGCTGTGCTGGGAGAAGATGGAGGTCTGGTCAATGGAGGAAACAGCATTAGAACCTTTTTTTTTTTGGTTGGTTGTGGGGCTTGAACTCGGCCTGGGCGCTATCCCTGAGCTCTTCAGCTCAAGCCAAGTGCGCTGTCACTTGAGCCACAGCGCCACTTCCAGTTTTCTGGTGGTTTATTGGAGATGAAACTTTCCTGCCCAGGCTGGCTTTGAACCACAGTCCTCAGATCGCAGCCTCCTGAGTAGCTAGGATTACAGGTGTGAGCCGCCGGTGCCTGACTAGATCCATGTCTAAATAACCTGCTGAGAGCATTAGGATATCATTTTTATCTTTTTAATTCCTCCTAATATTTTCTTCCCCTTTAGTTTTAGAAATAACCAGTGGAAGCCAGGAGCCGGTGGCTCACACCTGTAGTCCTAGCTACTCAGGAGGCTGAGATGTGAGGATTGTGGTTCAAAGCCAGCCCGGGCAGGAAAGTCCCTGAGGCTCTTCTTTCCAATAAACCACCAGAAAACCGGAAGTGGCACTATTCTCAAGCGGTAGAGCGCTTGCCTTGAGCTGAAGAGCTGCGGGACAGCGCCCAGGCCCAGAGTTCAAGCCCCACCACCACCAACAAAAATGAATCAGTGGGACTGTTGTGAGGTTCTGAATTTTTCTTTGAAAAATTTCAAACACAGAAAACCATATGTGCAGTGTCCACCCATCTGTCATGGACTGTGTGTGTATGGTGGTCCTGGGGCTTGAACTTAGGGCCTGGGGCACTGTCCCTGAGCTTTTGTGCTCAAGGCTAGCACTCTACCACAGAGCTACAGCTCCACTTCTTGCTTTTTGTGGTTAATTGGTGAAAAGAGTCTCATAGACTTTCCTGCCCAGGCTGGCTTTGAACCTCGATCCTCAGATCTCAGCTCCCTCAGAGACTATGATTACAGGCGTGAGCCACCAGTGCCCCACTTTCCCACAGCCATTTGACCACGCTTTCTCAGCCTCTGCTCTCTCTCTTCCTTACCCTGAGGCCCACTCATTCAGGAGAGAGGGGAGGGCGGGGAGGGCACCTGTGCAAATCTAAAATCCTTCCCTTTATGATTGGCTAGACTTGGCTTGAGGCCCACAGCTTCGCTGATGGCTGGTATCCAGCCCATGTCATACTTGGAAGATATTCGCTCAGATCTCAGCCTCACAATGAGATTCTGCGAACTGAGAATTAATGAGCCACATTTGGGTCCTATGACTCTGAAAGTGATCCAGACACCCAGACCCAGGAGGCCCCACCCAGGGGCTCTGCCCCTTTCCTTCACCCTTGCTGCAACATCTACAACACCTGGAGAGTGGCAGGGACACAGGCTGGATGGAGCTCAGCTCAGCTCAGCTCTGGAGTGGAATCTACACTTTTGTCAAGATTCTCTGCTAATTTTCATATTCAAGTATGAGAATTCCTCCTCTTGCTGCTGCCTCTCTTCTCTCCTCCTCCTCGCCTTTTTCTTATCTATATCCATCCAGAAGTCCAAAACGCTGAGGCAAAGATGGCCCCCACCAGCCACAGTGAGGCTGCCGTCAATGGCTGCCAGTGAGCCCGACTCTGCAGTGTGCGCTCACCTCACTTTTCCACTCTATACCACTGAGCCATAGCTCCACTTCCAGTTTCTTGGGAGTTAATGGAGAAGAGAGTCAAACTTTCCTGTCCACACTGGCTTCAAACTGTGATCCTCAGTTCTCAGCCTCCTAAATAGCTAGGCAAGTAAGAGCCACCAGCAACGGCTAATCCCCTTGGGCTTGAACCTAGGGCCTGGGCGCTGTCTCAGAACTTCTTTGGCTCAAGGCTAGCACTCTACCACTTGAGCTGCTGTACAACTTCTAGCTTTTCTGAGTAGTTTATTGAAGATGAGAGCCTTATAGGTTCACAGCCTGCCTGGGCTGGCTGTGAACCATAATCCTCAGATCTCAGCCTCCTGAGTGGTCAGGTGTGAGCCACCAGCCTGGCTTTTCCACACACTTTTAAAAATTTTGATTCTAGTACTGGAACTTGAACTCATGGCCTCACACTCTTGGTTGACTTTTTTTACTCACGGGTGGTGTCCTACCACTTGAGCAACACCACCAGGTTGCTGGTAAACTAGAGATTAGAGTCTCTCAGATTTGTCTGCCTGAGCTGGCTTCAAATCTCAATCCTCAGATCTCAGTCTCCTAAATAGCTGGAGTACAGGTGTGAGCCACCCATGCCTGGCTACACTTTCCAACATGAGCCTTTCCAACATGATCTTTACTGTGAACCACGTGAACTCAGCTGATACTCATGAAGGAGCGTGGCCGTGCTGACTGATACGAGAAACAAAGGAAATTCAGATTTCAGAGCTTCTGGTCTCAAATCCAGCACTTTTTCTTCCCATCCACGCAGGCCTCCCAGGGCAGTCATATGTGACAGTAAAAGCAGGAGCTGGGGCTCAATGGTACAGTGCTTCTATCCTGCAGGAGTTAAAACCTTTTTCTGTCAAAGTGGTTGCCTGACATAAGCGCTGCCATTTTTAAGGGAACCTGGCATCTTATAAGACACCTTTTAGTTATGCTACATCCTGTTGTAAGCGCTGTTTTTCTAGGGGCTGGAGGCATGTGGGGCTCAAGTGGTAGAGCCCGGGCTAAGTAAGTTTTTCTGACAAGTTTTGGCCAGGTGTCCTAGTTTGAGTTGATTGCCCAGATTAAATTTTAAACCTTTTCAAATCAACAGTCATGCAAGATTGTAATCCTACATTCTGGCCAATCAGAACAAAAGGTAGTAATGGGTTGGGGATAAACCCTGGGTGGACTGTCTTCCCAGCACACTTGCATACTTGCTTTCTTATTAGCAGAACGCAAGTTTGCCAAGTTCCTTTCCAATTGGTGCCCTTATTCCTTCTTGACACCACAATACCTGAAGACATTTCCAATAATGCTCAGTGTTAGGGAAGATCAAGCACACGAAAGGAAAAAAGAAACCTCGTGATCAGATTCTAATCATCACTGAAGAGGAACACCAAATAACACAGAGCTGAGTTGGAGATACACAGGGCATGGAAGGAGGCATCCAGTTTAAGTACAGTCACCTAAGTGAACTGGGGGGCCAGGCGACTGCAGCAGACAGTCACAGAGAACTTGTGAAGACGTTTAGGTCAAAAGGCCGTACTGCTACCTATTGTGGCTGAAAAGAATGATTTATATTTAGATGAAGATGTTCCCAAATAATGTTCTGGGATGAGGATTTCCAAGAAAAGGTCCTGGAGAAGAGGACAGGAGGTCAATGAGCCATGCGAGCAACACTGGGTTATGAGAACAAGGCAAATCCCCCCCCTCCCTTGCACACACACAAGAAAGAATAAAGGCAAGTTGCATTAAATAAAAGGCCATGGGGGCTGGGAAGGTGGCTCAGTGGTAGAGCACTTGCCTTGCATGCCTGAGGCCCTGGGTTCGATTCCTCAGCACCACATAAGCAAAAAGAAAAAAGCCAAAAGTGACACTGTGGCTCAAGTGGTAGAGCACTAGCCTTGAACTGAAGAGCTGAGGGACAGTACCCAGGCCCAGAGTTCAGGCCCACGACCGGAACCCAAAGGAAAAAATTTTTTAAAAAGGCCATGGAGCTGATGGTGGTGTGCACCTGGAAACTTGCTACTCAGCAGGCAGCCTGAGCAACATCAGCAAAACTTTATCTTAAAAAAACTATCGGGGCTGGGAAGGTGGCTCAGTGGTAGAGCACTTGCCTTGCATGCATGAGGCCCTGGGTTCGATTCCTCAGCACCACATAAGCAAAAAGAAAAAAGCCAAAAGTGACACTGTGGCTCAAGTGGTAGAGCGCTAGCCTTCAGCTGAAGAGCTGAGGGACAGTGCCCAGGCCCAGAGTTCAGGCCCCACGACCGGACCCCCCCCAAAAAAAAAACTATCACAGTCTCATGCCTGTGATCCTAGCTACTCAGGAGGATCTGAGGATTGCAGTTCAAAGCCAGCCTGTGCAGGAAAATCTATGAGACTCTTATCTCCATTTAACCACCAAAAAGACTGGAATGGAGCTATGGCTTAAGTGATAGAGTGCTAGCTAGCCTTGAACTAGAAAGCTCAGAGACAGCACTCAGGCCCTGAGTTCAAACTCCAGCACTGGCACAAAAATAAAATACTGGAAGGTCACATCTGAGCTAAAGAAAGTTTCTTCTGAAAGAGAAGTTTTCGTTGGAGCAGGGTCTTTAAGACAAGTATTTATCCAGAATTTCACAGTGAACAGGTGCCTTCAAGTAGAGACTACAATTGCATTTGATTCTCACAGCTGTGCCTCCTGCCTACCCTTTGCTGTCACACCCTTCTGTGAGCTATCCAGAGGAGCATCCCCACCCCGCATTCTTAGCCCCTCCCCTCGGCCTTAACAGAACAATGGATCGGAACTCTCAAAGCCAAGCTGTTCTGCCTCTGGCTTTGAGGGGAAAACTCAGTTCTCAGTTCCAGAGCCTGGCTGAGGAGTGGTGGTGTAGCAAGCAGGCACCATGTCTGAAGGGTGAGTGTGGTGGGCTGGCCAGCCCTGCTGAGGCCCTAGCCGCTTACGTTCATCCTGTCCCCATTATCACCCCAGATCGCTACAGCACCGCATGTGTGGCTGCACCCAGGGTCTCACTCGCACCTCCACTCCAAAGGGCCTCTTCCTCTTTTTTAAATTGTTTTTGACTTGTGTAGGTACTGGGGCTTGAACTCAGAACCTTGGGTGTTATCTCTCAGCTTTTTACTTATTTAGTTGGTCATGGGGCCTGAACTCTGGGCCTGGGCACTATCCCTTAGCTCTTCAGCTCAAGGCTAGCACTCTACCACTTGAGCCACAGCACCACCTCTGGCTTTTTCTGTTTATGTGGCGCTGAGGAATCGAACCCAGGGCCTCATGCATGTGAGACAAGCACTCTACCACTGAGCCACCTTCCCAGCTCTCCCTTTGCTTTTTTCACTCAAGGCCAGTGCTCTACCCCCCACTTAAGGCTTTTTGGTAGTTCACTGGAGTCTCATGGACTTTCTTGCCTAGGCTGGCATCAAACCATAACCCTTGGATCCCGGCCTCCTAAATCGCTAAGATTATAGGTGTGAGCCACTGGCCCTGGTGGCTGGCACAAAAGGTCTATTCTCTACCGGAGCCCCAAGCCATCTATTTTTGAAATCCTAAAAGGCCAAATGCATTCTTCTTGCTCCTAAACCAATTAATTCATCAGGGACCAACCCCAATCTTATACTTTGTGTGTGTGCTAGTACTGGGGCTTGAACTCAGGGCCTAGGCACTGTCCCTTAGCTTCTTCACTCAACACTGGCATTCTACCACTTGAACCACAGCTCTACGTCTGCCTTTTGGGTGACTAATTGGAGATAAGTCTCACCGACTTTCATCCCTGCTAGCTTTGAACTGTGATCCTCAGATGTCAGCCTCCTGAGGAGACAGGATTACTGGCTTGAGACATAACCACTGGCCTTATGCTTTCATACCCCACTGGGTCCTACTCAAGCCCAACTTCTTCCGAAGCCCTAAATGCACAATTCTCCCGCCTCCCCACGGCCCCTTCTCCAAGGCTCAGAGCACAGTATGTAACCGCTCTCTCCCCAGAGCTTACCAACGCCTCTGGGAGGCCTCCCACATGACCCTGCAAGAACTGTTGAATCAAGAAGGGCCGATGCTGGAACGCACGCCCAGCCGGGAGCGCTCTTCCTTCCAGTACAGGCTGGCCATGCTCTACCTGTACTACCTGGGGCTCCTGCGCCGGTTCGACCTGATCTACGACCAGATGGTGCAGCCTCAGAAGCGCCGGCTGGTCCGGCGCCTGCTGGACGGCGTGGCGGGCCGCGTGCTGGAGCTCAAGGAGGAGATGGTACAGGTGGACCTCAGCGAGACCCACTGGCTGGACCGCGCGCTGAAGGATCTCAAGATGACCCCGGTGCGCAGGCGCAGCAGCCTCCGCCTCTCTCCCGGAAGGGGGAGGGAGAGGGATGGGGCCACACTGGCCACGCCTCCTGAGGTCACGTGGTCGCGCTGGCCGCTCCTCCTACGGCCAAGGGGCTGCGCTGGCCACGCCTCCCGAGGCCAAGGGGCTGCGCTGGCCACGCCTCCCGAGGCCAAGGGGCTGCGCTGGCCACGCCTCCCG